AAACTTTCAATGTAGATGTATGCCGTGTCTCCGAAACATGCACACTTCAATCATTTCCCTGCGTTCTCGTTCTCGTTCTCAACCTCACGCTTCACTCTCCGTATGTCAGGCGATTCGGTATCCGAAGCTCGCGGTGTTGCTGGTGTCGGGATTGCGCTAAGTGCCAAGACTGATCGCCAGCTTCTGGAATGGATTCCAGTCAGTAGCCGATTGTGCGCTGTACATCTCAATGGCTCGGTACAGGTCAACAGGTACAGAACGAAGCGTCGGTGTTTGTTCGTCGTATCGGCGTATGCACCAACCGATTGCAGTACACCTGAAATTCAGGATGAATTCTACAAGGACCTTTCTCATTTACTCCAGTGTTCGATCAACGGACATCGTGGTAGTCGCCGGACACTTCAATGCTCAGCTGGGATCCCTGGACGAATCAGAAAGGCTTCTTGGCGGACCGCATACAATCGCAGCCAACCGGACGGNCAACGGAGATCGCCTACTTCAACTCTGCGCGGACCACGGATTGTTCCTGTCAAACGCGAACTTCGCACACAAGAATTGTCACCGCCATACATGGAAATTACCAATCTCTTCACTGCGCTGTACTCAAATCGACCACCTCACCATCAGTTACCGCTGGTCGGGGCAATTCATAACTGCCGTTCTTACTGATCCACATCCGTGGATACGGATCGCGCTTTGCTACGAGCCAAATGCTCCTTACGCCTGGCAAACACCCGCAATAAAGCCACCGGCAACGGATACCCGGGATACAGCGTCAGCGATTGCTGCAAATTGTCCTTCGAAGCGGAACTCTCCGATCGCCTGTCAGTTCAACCACCAGCCGAAAAACTCAATGAACACTGGAAGCAAATCAAGGAAGCTATGCAGATATCGATAAACGTAACGTCAGACCCTGCCGCCAGCTCCAATACAAACAATGGATATCATCGATATGCAATTCCATTTGACGATGCGGACAGCGGCGAACGGCTTCTCGAACTTTACGTCGTCCACGTATTGTTCCTGTCACGCACTAACTCGTCGAACAAGTAACGACGACGCCCTACGTGTAAGCCGCCAACCTGTTCGCAGCGCTGGACTCAAACCGACCACACCGACATCAACCACCGCTGTCGAGGATCCATTGAAGACTGCCGCCCATACTGGTCACCACCTGTGGACCCGAACCACGCTCTGCTAAGAACCAGGTTCTCCCTACGCCTGCTAAACTACCGCACAAATCCTAAAGAAACGGATGTTCACAATCAAGTGTCAGCAATGGTTGGAAATCGGCCTTCGACGTGGAATTATCTGATCGCCTTCCAGCTCATCTGTCAGCCGGAGGACTCAGTGGACGGCAATCAAGGATCCGGTGCAGGTATCTATCAAAACAACGGCGGATTCGGGTTCATGATCAAAGCAAAAGCGATAGATCTCATCGACCTCGGTTGTCCTGTTGGACGCTCGCAAAGCTATCCCTTCTAATGCCAAATACGACAAATCGCGCAAATTCCCTAAAAGCCAGCGCATCAAAAGTCTGAGGAATGACCGCGAGAAATGGTGGATAGGAAAGAGTAGAGCGATGGAGAAGGTTGCGGTAATAGTCGTATTGTAGATGTAGCTGAGGTAATTAAGAAGTCTGAGGACACAGTGATTCATTCTCATCAATGCCCTCCTGACCGATGGGCATAACATATTAAGGCACAGTTCAGCTGGCCCCCGTCGACACAAAACCTCCCCCCACCCGGTTCAACTGTGCAAATGCTGCCAGTTGACATCAGTCCTCAATCTGAAATGGAGTTTACCCTAAAAGTAAATTACCTCAAAGGGTTTAAGTCTTCCGGCCCGGACGGACTGTCCCCATCGGATTTTAAGGATGCTGGTTCAGTTTTAGTTTTGAAGTTCACCAGACTCGGGCTAATATGTTAAGTGGAACAGATTTCAACTCATTTTCGTGGGTCCATGCATCATACCGAGTTACAAGAAGGGGAATAGATGTCTTGGTTAATTGGTGGAGGAATTCGTTGAATCAACATTATCTCTATAGTCCTCGCTGGTATTTTATTCTGTCGATTGTCTGCCGCAAGTGAAACTCGCACGCGTGAGAATCAGGCTGGTTTTAGACCTGGTCGAGGTTTCATGCATCACATTTTCACTCCTCATCAAATCCTAGAACACAAACATTCCTTTCGTAGGCTCACCACTTCTATCCAGCTCTCTTAAAGTCGGTCCACCGCTCTAACCTACGACACCACCTCTCTGAAGGTTGTGACCGATAAGTATACTTCAATAGCGGCATTGGTTTGTCCTCAGTTGTTACTGATCCGGAGTATGCAGACTCCATTTTACTGCTATGCGGAGATCCGGGTAAGTTACAAGCTTTTTTCTAAATAATATCCCCGCCCTCCCGTATTTTTTATAAATTGTAATGTATTAGCCGAAGAAGACGAACCAGTTCAGTTCAGTTTATCTATTATATTTCACACTTATCTGAGGCCAGGCTGTGTCAAGCAAATCATGGTACAGTAATCTTTTTAAAAAAGAAAAACGTTACATGACTGGCTTGTGGGCTGAATATTGCCAGGTTGCCCAGACCAAGAAAGGTGAGTTTTCTTAAAGAATCCACAACCGGAGCCTTCGGCTAGCCAAAGCCTGACCCGCACATCAGCGGGGTGGTGTGTGAAAACCACAGTTCATCGGGAGCCGGTTTCCAGTTCATCGGATCACACACCTTTCGGACGGGATCAAACGTCCGAGGTGCCCAATATACCTCGATGCCCAGTTGAGCTGGTGACCTCAGCCTCAATCGAAAAGGTGCGGGTGTTGTTTTTACGCCTCCTCATGGTTGGTTTGGAGTCAGGGTTTTTGGCCAACTCCCCTAGGTGAACTAGTGGTTTACCAACCTGGATGTCGGATTTTCATCCTCTTACTTTGGTGCGAAAACACCGCCACGAGAGAGCAATTCAGTTTGTACAACCATTAACCATGCACCTTCGTGCGGTGGTTTTGGTTGCTGTCTTTTGGCTACCCATTTGGATAAGGAATAGGAGGAAGACGAATCACTGAAAACAAGTCTTGTTCGCTACATCGTGTTCTTTTCTGGGTAGTTCGAATGCTAGCGTAGCCATGTTCGGTATGCGTTTTGCACCTTCACAGTGCAAAATGTAGCTGCAAGATTGTTTCGACCCAACCCTCAACCTCATTCTGGAGAAGTAGCAGAGGAAATGGAAAAACTTTGTATCTCACCCGGTGGAAGCATCACGGATGAAGTTTCGGCACAATTAGATAATGCTCGGTTGGCATTTGCCAACTTGAGACATCTGTTACACCATCGCGCCATCCAACTGTCCGTGAAGGGTCGAGTATTTGCTGCATCAGTTCGCCCAGTTCTGCTAAACAGTGCAGAGACTTAGCCTTAGAACAGGATAAAAACTGATCATCGGTGTTTGAACATTGCTGTTTACGTCGCATTGCACAAGTGTTGTGTCAGAACCGACCGGGCAATGCTCAGGTTAGACGCTGAGTTTTTGGTGTCCGCGGTCGGTTACTGTACAAAGTGGTCGACCCCCATGGATTACGCTGGTTTGCCAATTCGAATTGTGAGTAAAGTCCCAGCCACCGAACGGTTGCCATGAACCATCTTACTGCTACCTTAGTTTCGCTTAAGCTATAGGTGGTTACCCAACCGAGTGACTTTGCTGACATCCCTTGTACGATATCCCCGCGAAACTTCATGGTCATCGTGAGGTCGGTTTGTCTGCCTCAAGGAGCCAGGCGTAGTAAATTAAGAGGGGGGGGGAATATCTTATCTGGAAACATGTCGGGTAGCTTTCGGTTGTACACGATCTGGATTCCCCTCTAGCATTACCATCCCACTGTTTTTGAAATAATAAGATGTCATCGGCAATGGCTGCTTACATTTTTAACAACACTTCAATGACATGGTCCTTCATAGAAGCTGTCGGTATCTCGCTATGCTCTTGATTTGGTGAGAGGAGTGTTTCAGTGTCGTGATCATGATCGTTATTTTGATCTTGTATGTGCCCTTAGCCATCCTAAACAGCACTTTCGTCCACAAATGAACAACTAAATTGAGTTGACGTGAGTACGACAGAAGGCATTGAATCAAACTCGTTAGTCCCAGCGCAGTGCCGTGGGAATAATTTATTTTACTCATTAAACACAAGTGCGAGAGACTATTTTTCTTGATCACTTTTTTTCGAAGCGCGTGACAATTTCGAAGCGGGCCATACAGTCCGATGCATAATATTCATTGAATGTTAATAGGTTTTCTTCCACCAAGGTCGTCAGGCTTTCCATTCAAAGTTTAACTCAAAAAATGGTACGATCAATTGTCTTTTTGACGCAGTTTAAAATCTGTGGTCCGTGACACACCTCAAACAAAAGTGCATATTAATGCATGCATCGTCTCTTGGCCATAACGCAGCGCACTTAGGACGAGCCTTTATTGTCTTTGTCTGACGTCTGCCATTTGACCTTCCAGACATGATGAGATCTCCTGGCTTAATAAAAGCTATCCTTTGTTGCTCGTTGGGTCAGAGAGGTGCATCAGCCATCACACCACATCAAGGTGCAGTCACATCGTGATGGCTTTGGTGTCTGTCACAAGATTTTGTCAACACATGTTCACACACAAGAAGACGACCGAGTTGCCACTTGCCACCAGCAGGCAAGTGAAGGTGTGGTGTATGACATTCTAAAATTTATGTGCAATCTATTTTCGGTGCTCCACGTTCCAATAAAATTGCCTCACCCGAGAGGTTTGAAAAAAAAACAGATTTTAGACATCTGGTAGTAATAATTGTCATATTGTTTATTCGACGGCTTCCTCCCTCTCCCTTTAACTTGAGTAATACGAACTACTTCCACTTTTTGACCATGTCCATTTGATCCATTCAGGAGGATAAGGTAGTTAGAAAATCCAATACGCAATTTTTTGCAACAATTTTCAGCTGATTCTTCTTGTTCTTCTCGTTTAGGCTCGATTTTGTCAGAATCCGGGCGCCGCAACTTGGTTGGCTGCTGGAACAACCCTCGGTTTTGTTCAATTAATTCGTTCCGAGTATCTCTATTTGAAGTGTTTTGATGAAGCCCTTGGTCGCCAGCCGGATACTGAAGAATCACCTTTCCTGCTTCGCTATCACGTACCATTCGATCGGGCTCCCAAAAATCAGGCCCGATGGACTCCATTCATTGATGCTCCCGAACTCCCGAACAGCGGGCCAAGCAAATCCAAAAGTCGTGTTCCGACTAAAGGAACGCGAAATCCGAAGCAGCTAGATGGTTTCTGTCCTGGTCGATCTATCATGTTCGCACTCAAACCCAAGGAAGCCCCCAAGCCGGTCCCTGTGCCTCGTCCTGTCCTCATCTCCAGTTCGGAATCATCCGACGACGGTGCGGCTGATGTGAAAGATGAATTGCGGGCAGTCTGTGTTCGAACGCGACGACCCACAACTACCCGCAAGGATCAAAAGACAAAACCGACCAATACTCCATCTCCGATAGATTCACTCAGTCTTAGTTCTTTGTCTGATAATGTTGACGGTCAGGATAGTGATCAAACTGAACCATGCACTCAACCCACATGATCCCTTCAGTCTTTTACCATGTACAGAGGTCATGTATCTTGTATGTGCTTCCTCGACCACCTATGTGTAATCTTATTCCAATCCATTATGTACAAAGCTATACAACAAGGAAAATGACTCATATGAAACTAACTTTGACCAGTTTTTGTAATTCAAATCTTGAAGCTGATGTCCAACTTTTGTCAACTAGAATGCTACTGAGGAACCGGGTGTTGCTATGAATGATCGCACTAGAACCACATGCTGAAAAGCTTGCACTTGTTTGTACACAAATAATACACATGGAGGTTGATGAGGGAGATATACAAAGACAAGTAGGTAGTGTAGTGATGGTGTTCGATTAGGTTAATGGCATGCTTAGGACCTAAGGTCCAAAGTTCAAACCTAGTCACATTCACCCGACGTTTTGTATCACTTCACTTCCAACCCGTAACATTCCCTCAGACAACTTGATCGTCACTCGCCAAAAGTCGTTGCTAAATAGCACTGTAACTAGTTTCCTTGTAAATAAAGTGCAGATTCTGAAGCCTCGTCAACCTCTCAATCTTAGAACTCTTATGCAGGTGGGTCAATGGGCCTGTCTTGTGCGCACAATGGAGTCTCTAGAAATCGATGTCTGTTGCGTATCGGAGACAGGAATTCAGGATCCTAGCATTATAAGCCACCTGAGTGCGCCGGGTCTGTCCTCGTGGTATTTCCTTTGCACATCAGGAGGCGAGGAAGCCCACTCACTGGGTCAGTGTGGTGTAAGGATCGTACTAAACGAAAAAGCTGAAGCCTCTATGATAGATTGGATACCCGTCAATAGCCGTTTGTGAGCAATGGAGCTACAGGGTTCAGTTAGTATGCGGAAGGGTAGCAGTACCAAGGGTGTTTGTTCATCATTTCCGCATATGGGCCAACCAACTGCAGTCCCGCTTCACAAAAGGACGAATTTTACGACAAACTCACCGGACTCCATCGCAAAAAAAACTGACGAGCTGTGGACACGGTTATTCTATTCGGAAAATCATGCAAATAAATGTCACAAATTTAAAGTTTTATTTTGACTTTGTGATATTTATTTGCATGATTTTCCGAATGGAATTAACCGTGTCCACAGCGAGTGTTGGTTCACCCTGACTTTGCTCTATTCCGTGGGTTTTCAGTCTGAATCCAAATTCACGCTATTCGATGGTGATTCCTATTCCGAATACTACAAGCTAATCATTGTGAAGCCACACCGCAGAAGCTGAAGTCAGCCCTCAGCAAACCAGGGAAAATCAAAGAGGAGAAGTGGAGGGGCATAGGTAGAGCAAATTCCTGAACAAAACCTCCTATCACAGACTGATCAGAAAAGAAGTGATGCAATCTTCTAGTCTGAACGAAGAGAACTTTCTACCAACGAGCAACAGTTTGGGTATGCAAAGATCAACGAAGGTTCCCTTCAAGAGCGATACTTGAGTAATTCACATAGGTGACCCTGCTCATCCGCCTTTCCGTAATTTCTACATTGTCAGAGGGAAATGGGTAACAGTTCACATTAAAAAATGCAATCAGGATTAAGATTGAGATTGGATAATGTGAGATACATAGCGAGCCGGGATAAGTTTGAGTCGAATGCTGTTCTTTACGATTGGTTAGATATGGAAACGGGAATGGTGATGCCAAGAGAATACCTAAACTATCGTAAAGAGTTAGTGATTTTTCATCAATTATGAATCTAAGTAAAGTATACTATTATGCTATAATTTTGAATCAAGCGTAGTTTTTTCTGTTGAATCAAAGATCCGCAAAGAAGTGATATACAGCAATCAAAAATATGCGACATCAACAACCATGATTTTGCAACTATGCCTATCGATAAGTTATTCTGAGAAGTCCTACCTAAGTTCGTACAAGCATTCCGAGGAATTCCTAAATACAATATCTGGTCCCTCCCCCCTTTACGAAACTGCGTTCCGAATTCTGACGTATATCCAGAGCGACAAGCAGATTAGCGAAAAACGCAATTTATCAGTCAACTCTGCATGTATGTAAACGTGCACTATTCTGTCCACCTCAACTCGACAGGAGACGGGAGAAATTAAATCGTGCTTTGCATGGGAGAAAAGGGGATGTTTCAGACTAGTGTTCTTCACGCGACATGATGAGGTGGAATTGAATTGCGTACATTAGCTATTCCACCACACTCATTTGGTCGTTCCTACTCCAACTGGACCATGAACGCGTAGGGTTGATTCTTATTTTTAGTTGATTTCATTGATGAATTTGTCAATTTTTTGATCCTCATAACCCTTCTTGATATCTCGAAAATCGCCTGATTTTCTGTCTAAACTGTACATTTTTACCTCTTTTGTACAGTTTGCCATACGGGCCCAGCTGCATCCTTCCATGTGCTTGCACAGATATGGGCCGTTTGTTCAAGATCATCTAAACAACGGTTTAAATTTGCCAATCACTTTGCTTCTAACAAATCCTGTGCTTGGCTACAACTCCACGGTTTAGGAGCAGTTCACTTTCGCACGAAAGAAGGCAAAACTATTCGTAGTTATTTTCTCGTGGAAAGGGGACGGGACACTTATACCTCATATTGCATTTTCACCTAAAGCATATGCCGGACAAACGTATTATTTTGCAACAAGTCCCGACTAACATTATGTTATTCCATTAGCAAACCTTTCGA